AAAGACAACATAATTATCATAAATAGCAATGATAGAATCTCTGCTATGCACCAAACAATAGAATTATTTTTCTCATCTCAGTTGTAGACAAATTACTGTACTTAGAGTCCTGCTAACTTTGTATTTTTTTGCATATTCCTTTTTTCTGAATCCCTGATGTTATGTATAAAATTGCAAAGAAGAAAAGTAGAATTAATAACCATAAAAGGCTAAATGAACATTGCCTATGACTATTTTGCAGCATACATTACATAATCACTCGGTATTCAATGATTCTGATTCAGTACCACTGAAGAGAGCAAGGGATCAGCACATGTCTTTTGGGAATATCAATTGTGTATCATCCGGTAATAGTTTAAGGCTACTTCTTTCTTGCAATTACAGCCATCATTTACAAGTATAAATACACCCAATACTTATTCGAATATAATGCTGCTTGAGGTAGCTTATGGAGGTTTTTGTTTGTTTTCACATTGGACATTGTACTCTTGGTCCTTAAATTAGATAAGGTTCACCCAATCTGTTAGAATGACACCTACAGAAGCTTTATTTTTACCAAAGACTTAAAGATATAAGAGATTTGTAGGTATTAACCTATTGTTTTTAATAGAATTCATTAACGTATTTCCAATAAAATTCTGCTTACGAATGTATTTTATGTTTCTCTTTATAAGTTGTTATTAGTGGTTCTTGACATGTTAACAGGAAAGTCTAACTCATCCTCTGTATCTTTTAGGTTATTCCTTACATTTACTATTTGGGTGGTTCTGATCCTTTATAATTTTCTCAAGGTCTTCATCTATCTATCAAAATCTGTAGTACTCTGATTATCTACTAATGTGTAAGAAGTCACCTTAAAAACCTTAGAATTAGAATTAAAATTCTAAGATAACATTGAGCAAGATCCATTGCACTTATAAAGTGACATGTTGAATTGAAATCCCTTTGTACAACTACTTAAAGATCATAATAAGACAATTAAAATTCTAAAAATCTAAACATAACATCAACCTATTTTTTTTCTTAGTTCCTTTTTCTTTTTATACATAGGATAGATTTTAATTGTCCATTGGTTAAGAGCAACAACCTTTTATTGTCTCTCATGGTTCTGGTGTCTGACGAGGGTCACATGGGGTTTCACATACCAAGTCTTTACATAACTGCAGTAAAGTTTTGGCTGCAGCTCCAGCACATGGAGAGCTAAATGGGCTGGACATCCAAGACAGCACTTTCAAAATATCAGCAGTGAAGATCTACTCAGCTGGGTCCATCTGACCAGAATACCAGCCTAACTATAACCCTCTGCGTACCAGAGCTCTCCAGAATAGAATGTTTCAGGATTGAATATTCCAAAAGTTACAAGTAACTGTCTCACCTAAGGTGACATAGCTCCTAAGGGTGACTGAAACCCATTCCCCAAGCCAATGATTGACAGTTGCAGGGACACAGAGATTTTCTTGCCATTCCCTTTCTTAGTTAGGAAGAATTCTGCAGGGCTACCAGCTCCAGAACTCCCACAAGATGACACATGGTTGTTGAATTATCACTTCAGATATTCCTCCCACACTCCTAGTACTTGAAGTTTTCACTGAGATCACAGACACAGACACTGGCCTAATACCCCCAAATCCTCATAACCTTAGCCTCCCATAGAGCTTCAGATGACAGGCATGCTTGACCAGCACTGAGCTAGAATGTCATTTATTTCTCTAAAGTTAGTTGAGGTTGTAAAATCCAAGTGTGTAATCATCTGAAAAGCTGAGTCTCTAACAGAATCAACTGTTTGACTACTATAATATGATAGACAAGTTTAAGAATGTAAATACATTTTAAAAAATCTAACATGGTGTACCTAAGCTGATGGACAATTCAAATATACCCTATATATAAAAAGAAAAAGAAAAACTAAGACAGAAAATAGGTTGAGGCTATGTTTAAATTTTTAGAATTTTAATTAAAATTGTTGTTGTTATTATCTTTAAGTAGTTGTACAAAGGGATTTCAATTCAACATGTCACTTTATAAGTGCAATGGATCTTGCTCAATGTTATCTTAGAATTTTAATTCTAATCTCTCTCTAGGAGTCAGTCATTACCCGTAGATATTTTCAGTTGCTTCACCTAAACGATCAGGAAAAATTAACTGGGGCTGAAATTATTTCCGAATTGAATTTTCAGGAAAAAGGTCCTATGAGAAAGGAAATCCCATAAATCTCTTTTTAGGCTTTATTGAAACTTTACAATTCTCTTAGAGAATGCATTAAACTCAAAGAACACAAATCAATAGATTTCTCAATAACAAAAAATAATCCCTGTGACTCTTTACTCACTAAATAAGTGTGTAGTGAAAATCAACAGTGTGCTTTCACATAGATAATAAGAGAAGAAAATAGTGGGCAGATGAGAGGTCCAGAAATGTAAATTAGTCCCTGAATAAACTCAGCCTGACTTGTTTATTCTAGCAGCATTCACTCAATGCTCCAAAATCCTCAATAAAGGGCTGAAAAAAAATCCTCTACCAGCTTCAGACACCACCTGAAAATCCTGTCTAGCAACACATCTGACACAACACCAAAATGATTTCAATACACTCCCAGAAAAATACATATTACTGTGGATATCTTAAAACTCACACATGAAGTCTAACTTACCTCCAATTCTATTTTTACCACCTTATAAAGATAACTAATTCTAAAATCCATCTTTCTTCAGGGGGCTCTGTTCCATACATTATCTTATTTAACAAAGAAAATGGACTAGAGACCTATGCAACCATGGAGGTTTAACAAAATCAGCAGGTTAGGCATACATTCTCTTAAGTTTTGAAAGATATCGCTATATTTTCTCTGATTCTGAATATTCTCTGAGGTACATCTCCTAATAAATAAAAATTTTAATTTGGAATATGGTCAAATATAGATCACAACTCACGAATTGTGATTTTTAAAGATGCTCCTGAATATGCACATCGATTTTCAGAAGAGATTTACACTGCAAAATAAGACCTTTTATAACAAACAGGCTGTCATATGATTTAGTTGATACTTCAAATTCTTTTCAATTAATGTAAAAAGGCTGCTTTTTATGATATGGCATATACAATATGCAATCATTTCATTAAGTATTTCCTTTACAAAACACAATTCAGCCTTTTTCTAAATGCCACGCTCTGTGCTTGGGACTTAGGATAAAACAGTGAACAAAACAGACATACAATTTGCCTGCATAGATTTTAGAATGTAAACTCTATTGTCTATAATGGATCTAAAATGCAAGAATTGATGATTCCACAGAAAAAGGCTAGAGAAGACTGATATTGATATGTAGGATGAGGCCTCCAGAAATGTCCCTATCCTAATCCCGAAACCTACTAATGTTACCTTAAATGGCCTTCTTATTCTAGCTTCAACCATTCTAGCAGGATATGTCATTACTAATACATTCTTCTTGTTACTAAAATCTGCTTTACAACTTTGATTTCTTGAGAGGCAAGAGATTTTTGTCAGGAGCCAACCTCTTCAAATATTGAGTATGGAGATTCATCAAATGTGTTGATGTATTAACTAATTTTAGCATATTTCTATTAGTCACATAATGCACTTATACTGAACAATCCTAAATCTTTAATTTCATAACCAAAAAGCTTTATATATTTTGATGAGTTATCAAAACATAACTTCATAAATCTTGAATTATTCCACTTTTAGGACCGATGAATAAAATATTCTAAATATAACTCTATGGTTCTATTACTTAAGGAGGTTTTATGATTAATACATGGTATTCCCTTCCCTGTTTATCCACAGGGAATATATTTCAAGATCCCCTGTGAATACTACAAAATAAGGAACCAAATTCTAGATATAGCATGATTTTGTGTGTGTGTGTGTATATATATGATAAAGTTTAATTTATAGTAGGTACAGTAAAACAACAATAGCTACGGACAGAATTTTAAAAATATATTACAATAAAATTTAACTGAAAACTAGTCAATTATTATGGAATTTCCATGTAATATTTTCAGCTGATTGAGCAACTGAAACCAGAGAAGTCAAAAGCCATAGAGGAGTATCTACTGTAGAGCTGGCAATATTCTCAAGGTTTTTTTAAATAAGTGATCCTTATTTGTTTTATAAATACTGTGATGGGAACAATAGTTAATATACAGTTTATAAATTATATGTAAAACAAATATTTTCCCTAAATTTAGTCAGCATCATGAAAATTTCTAAGAAATGCCTAAAATGTAACACTGTGTCACATTTGAAAGAGGTCAAAAGCTGTCCAAACTGTCTGAGCTTTGTCAAAGTTCAACAAAATGAGCACCAGGAAACAGAAACTTGAAAAGCGAGGAGGGGAGATTATGGGAAGAGGGACAGACAAATCAAGAGGAGAAAGGGGATAGAATGAAATCAAGAAATCAATCTATATCTGACAAAATTAAGTGAGGGAAATGGGAGGGTGGGAAGAATGAGTGTTGAAAATGGTAAAATTGGATCAAGTTGCATTGTAGTCATATACTGCTCTGTAAAATAGCAACTTCTTTGTACAACTACTTAACGAAAATAATTTTCAAGAAAAATAAAGGGGGGTAAATGCTATCTAAGAGTTTTGTAAATGACCTCTGCTGCACTATTTATTATCTAATACTGAGCAATGTGCCAATCTCTTTATCTTCTCTTTATCCTTTACATAAGTAACCCTTACTTTCTTTCTCCAGTCCTGATTCTCTTTTGCAGCTCATCTATAGTTCCAGAGTTTCAACTCATAGATAGTTCCAGAAATAAAACAATCATGTACTACTGTAAAAGTAGTTCTGATTTCATTCCTAGAAAACTCTCTAGGTTATTGTCCCCTTGAACAACCTTCTAAGAACACCAACCCATTACTCCTTTGTAATTGATCATATTTCGTGGGGGCACAAAATGCACCTTGGCATGCACTCAAAAAACGAGGGATAAGTGGGAACAGGGATAAAAGATCGAACCAGTCACCTACGTTATTCATGTACTCTGAAAGCAGGTCCTGAAGAGCCTGGCGAATGGCGTTGCACTCTGCAATAATTCGCTCTCGGTGGAAGTCCCTTGTGCAGGAAGAGTCTGCCAACAAAGCTGCCCCACTGATAATGGCTTCAAGGCGTTTTTCTAGTGATGGCCTTATTTCCTCCTCTGTCACTGTGAGTGGGTTTAGGACAATTAATTTCTAAAAAAGAAAAAAAATCAATATTTGAATAGTTAGTATTCCATGACATTCCATGTATATGGAAAACAAAATTTCTTGTTTTCACATTTAGAACTTAGATGTTAATAATAAAAAGAGTGACCCAGTTCACATATAAGGCTATGTAGCAATTATTATTCTGATGAATGAGGAACATGATGTGACTATGAGCACTGGTTCTACTCTTTGTCCTGACTCAAATCATGTCCTTCTTGTTCTGCAGGGTAGCTTAAACTCCGTGAGCGTCGCCTTCTTTTACCTGTAAAACTGTGATAGTAATGTTGCTTATGTCACAAAATCATAACAAATACATACTTAAAACTATAGCACATACTTATTTACCATAGTTACACTTCTGAACTATACTACTAGTATATTTTCAACTGTATCATTTCATCTTACCAATTTTATACGAAGGTGTGCAACCACAGGATACTTAGCCACACATTTCAGCCGATGAGTGAGACTAAGAGGCTTCCTTATTCAAGATCAAAGAGCAAACCCACTATGAAGTTCCCATAAGTATTCTGATCTCATAATAAGCAATTTGTTATAATTTCATTATGTCTCAGTATAAGCCATAGACTCTAATTCTACTACTAACTTATCAAAGAGAATTCTAGATTTTAGTTATTTATTTAAAATGTAAACTCCAGCTTCCTGTTGGTCTATTCTAACTTGAAGGTATTTCCAGGTATTGGAACCTGATGCGGCATTTTCAAGGTTATCTAAAGACCTAAGTCTTTAGGTAATAAAGATTATCTTTAGCTTCTGAACAAAAGTTAGAGGGAATGCTGCTCTAAGGGTGTTCCATGAAAATACATTGCAAGGAAACCCTTTCAAGGTGAGACCTAATGTGATCACTGAAGAAAGAGTATAACATAAAACACGCTGAACAACAATTAATATAAAATCAATTCATGCCAGACATCGGTGGCTCACACCTATAATCCTAGCTACTCAGAAAGCTGAGATCAACAACAGAAGTTGGAAGCCAGCCAGGGCAAAAAAGTCCACCAGATTCTTATTTCCAATAAACTACTCAGAAAAAGCCAGAAGTGGGAGACCCAGCCCTGGGACCCCTTCTTGTATAAAGAGTTTGTCTCATTTTCCTTTCTCTGTTGTTTTGGCTTTCAAATAAATCTATTCTATCTGCTTTAAACATTTCCAGTTCTTTAATTCTTTAATCTGTAGAGAATATAAACCCTCTCAAAAAAAAAAAGCCAGAAATGTTGCCATGGCTCAAGTAGAAGAGTGCTAGTCTTGAGCACAAAGAGACTCAAGGACAGCACCCTGACCCTGAGTTCAAGCCCCGGACTGGAAACCAATCATTCAATAAAATTACATAATAATCTTGAGAGTGTCAGACTCAAGATGTGAATTGAAACATACAGTGAGGTCAATAGATGTTCATAGCATATTATCTTATATGATTATATATGTATATTACAGAAATGTATATATTTATGTAAATATATAATATTTCATATATCATTTGTTATATTATGAGAAATATTTGACGTTCAAAGTAGCCATGATATAATTATAACATCTACAACTTCTAGAGCCAATCTAGGAAGGAAAAAAAAATAATGAAAAATTATTTTAAAGCAAGAGATTAGAAAGAAAATTAGTACATTTTAGTCTATAGTATGCTGACATATAAAATATAATAGAAAGATAACATTGGTTTAATATCATAAAAGCAAAAGAACTCATTTCATGGTTTTATTTCCTTTGTGTTTATCTACTGCTAATTCTCTCCATTTCTTTCTTTTATATAGAAAAGGAAATAAAAGCATAAAGTGAAGGGCAATTAACTTTACAAAAGCAAAATTTAACTTTTTACAATGTATATAATCTTGTTTAAAATGTCTTTATTGTTATTATAAAAGTGATGTACAGAGGAGTTATAGTTACATAAGTCAGGTAAAGGGTACATTTCTTTTGGACAATGTCACTCATTAAAGATATATAATCTTTTAAAAATTTGTTATCGTAAAAATAATTTATTGTAAAAGTAATGTACAGAGAAGTTACATACATTAGGTACTGGAATACATTTCTTTTAAAACAGTGTCACCTCTTCCCTCGTTTTCTCCCAGGTGTTTTCCTTCCTGACTCCCCTCCCCCACAAGTTGTATAGTTCATTTTCAACATAGTGTCTAGTGAGTATCACTGCTGAATTAGCCCACCCTTTATCCCCCAATTTCTGTACTTCCTCTTCTCCCCAATCAGATAAACTTGCACAAAGGACAAGAGGTACAGAAATCAAAACAGTGACAAAAGGGTAAAAATAGAAAGTAAAAAAAAAAAGAACCACAAACATAAAATAAAATAAACCTCTTGTTTCCATTTCTTAGAGATCATTTCCATAAACATCATTTTATATAATTATATGCACATAGCTATTGAGCCCTAAGGATATCTTCCTTTGGCCCCACTATGTGACTGTTTAGAATCTTGTTTATCATGTCCAAGTGTAGTTTTTTTGTCTTGTAATATCCATTGGGTTTACCTGTAGATTTATAATCACATTCGAATTATTATAAATGAGGGAAACCATACAATGTATGTTTCTTTGGGTCTCACTTACTTTGCTTAATATAATTTTCTGCAAGTCTTTCCGTTTCCTTGCAAATGTTACAATATCATTCTTTCTTTTGGAAGCATAGAATTCCATTGTGTATATAAGCCATATTTTCTTGATCCATTGTTCACTGAGGGGCATCTGGGTTGATTCCATATTTTAGCTATGGTAAACAATATTACAATGAACATGGTTGTGCTGGTGGCTTTAGTGTGGCCAGGTTTGTAGTCAATTGGATAAATGCCCAGGAGTAATAGGGAAGCTTAGTGATAGGGAAGCTCTGTTTACACTTTTAAGGAACTTCCACACTGCTTTCCAGGGTAGTTGAACAAGTTTACAGTCCTATCAACACTGTAGAAGCTTTTCCTTTTGGCCACATCTCCTCTTCATCATCTGTTACTATTAATTTTGTTAATAATGGCCATTCAAACTGGGGTGAGGTAGATGTTGTTTTGATTTGCATTTTTTTATGACCAGAGATGTTGAGCATTTTTTATGTGTCTATTAGCCATTCTTACTTCTTCTACTGAGAAGTCTCAAAAAAATATCCTCAAAAAAACAACAACCCAATTAATAAATGGGCTAAAGACTTACATAATCTTTTTGATGAGACCATAACCCATGGGCTTGGCCATTGTTCAAGGTCCCATTTACCCAAATCCATCTTTCTATTTTATATGCCACTTGCACCATGATTCTTTTTGGATCACTAAATCATTGCAAACTCTTTACTCCAATGTTTCACAGTAAAAATTAAACCAATTAAAACTTTTTGAAAACAGCTTTCCAATGAGGCATTGTTATTAAGGAGACATACAGCAACAGAAACATGATTTAATTGCTCAAATGTAATTAGAAGGTGTGACAAGAACAGTTAATGTGGCTCTACCACCACAATAATAAGAAAAGTTGGTGAAATTTCATGCTCTTTATCTTCAAGAAAAAATATTGCTTTAGATGTTCTGGCTGTGATTTCCTATCATTTAGTACCCTGACTCATATGATTAAGTTAACTCATGTTTCTTTTGGTTCTTGCTCTCCAGGAACATTCCTCAAACTAAACAAGCTTTTGAACTTTTACCTGTTTTACCTTTTGTTTTGCTTCACTTTGAGTTGTGTGCTTGTTTTTTATTATTTTTTGTTGTGCTTTGTGGATTTTGATATGATCTTGCTATATAGCCCAGGTTGCCTCACACTTGAGATCCTTTGCTTTAGTAACCTGAGTGCAGAGATTTCAAGCCCAGGCCTGTTTAGCCTATTAGAGTCCATTGTGTTCATGCCCATCTAGACTCAAGTCATCAGCTGCTCCAACATCTGATATGGAATATTCACATTCTATAAAAGTTTTCAACAACCTTTAGGCAAGATAACATTTTTAAATAACTTCAATGTTCTGTACCACTGACTCTGATGGATCAAATGGAATAAATTATCTCTTTCCATGTAGTACAGCTATATATTAAAATGTTCTCTCAGTATATTTTCACAGCAATTAGTTGAATGAAAGATGAGCAATAGGATGCCATATTTTCAGGATCTAGTCTGCTAAACAGAGAAAATATTTTCATTTTTCAAGATCCTGCTCAATATATATTCACCTAATTCTTTGGTTCTTAGCAGAACATTTTTTTCAATAGCTTGGGTTTGACTTCTGGCTTCATAGTTAGGAATAAATGTACTCATGCTATTAGCATCCTCTATATTTTGATCTCCTTCAGCATAGTTTGTAATTTCCTTGGTTAATGAATCTGAGTCTTCACTTTAATTCATACAACTACTTCTCAGATCTTTATACTTTAAATCACCCAAGATTGCTCATTATCCATTTTGGGTTCTTTCCAGTCACTTTATCATCATCTTGAAATTTAGGAAATAAATATATATAAATATATATATATATATATATATAAAACATTTTTATAACAAGGAAATGAAACTACCCCTATGTAACAGCAGAGCCTAGGAGGATAGATCTCCCCCAAGTATAGTAGTTACCTATAATGATCAGGCTGCACCCTGGAAGGAGGGACATCTCATGAGAACTAGATCACTCCTTTCTAGTGACACTAGGAAGATTCAGAACTGATATTATGACCAATTAGGCTACATCTATCACTAGAACTCTTAAACTATGCATACCTTGGTCCCACATACACCTTATCCCTAATTCTTTATCTACTTAAGCCTGTCACTCCTGTCTATACCCCTCAAAATGGAGGAAGATGAACTGTGGTGCTTTCTGTGGCATGGTACCAATTAAAAGTCTCCTTTCTCTATGCTATTTCCATTACTTTCACTACATTTGTAGTCTTGACTGAACTCTTCTCTCATTGGACTCAAAGACCAAGTTAGATAATTGGAGTGACTTTCTAGTAACAGCATCATATATATA